CAACCAGATATGACATTGTTTCAAATTATGATGTAATAATCCAGAGTTTTGAAATATTAACTGAGACCAGACGCTGAGTTGTAACCCTGGGGCTTTCAGAAAAATATTGCAAGCTCATATGCTATCCCAAGTGAAAGATTTTGCATTTAGATTTCAGACTTTACTGAAATGTGTGAGGAAACCCATTTTATTTGGTCATCATCTGTCTGGATCACACACGAGTGTCCCAGCTATGACATAGCTGTTGTAACGTGGGTTTGCTTTCGAGATCAGTTTATTTGGGACAGCAGCATAGTGTGATTTTCAGGGATTGATACAGACTAGTTAATTTATGCTAAATCGTGTCTCTTTTAAAGGACACACCTCCACATCCATGAAAGGTTTTTCAGAGCTGTACAAATGAGGGTAGCACCAATTATAAAACTTAACCTTTTTTCATTCCTTACACATACTGTACAGATCTCAGGACAAATTCTGGATCTTTGACACAAAAAAAAAAAAAAGCTTTCATTTAATTTTAGAAAAAAAATAAAGTATTTGAATGTCACTAGAATGTTATCAATACCCAGCAAGGGTTCTACTGAGTTCATGAAATAATTCAGGTGTGCAGAGTGGGAAGGAATATTTTAGCATCTTTTCCTTTCAGCTGTTACGTAGGAAAGAATGATCTGAACTGTTGAAACTGTGACTTTACCCTGGAAGTAATCGAAACCTGTGGCGCTTTTGATTTCAAGAGGAAAAACAAATTAATTAAAGAGAAGCAGTACTAGAAAACATCTCTTAATAACACCTAAGTGTTTCCTTAACTCTTGAAAAATTGAAGCCTTTCTGAAAGTGATTTTCTTTTATAAGATCTTTTGGTTGTGTGCTTTTAGCCTAGTTTTTTGTTTGTTTGTTTATTTTCTTTTTGAAAAAGGAAGGAGATGCTGAAAAAGACCTGATTTCCAAGAAAGTAAAGAACACCCACCCATCGTGTTATGATTTGTTTTGGAAATGTAAGCAAGGCATGTGCTCCCCCTGACTTTTGCTTTAGAAAGCCATGACTACTCATTTGTGGTGGTCTGCTGTGCCTCATGGTCCAGCCTCACCTATTCACAAGCTGTACATGAAGCTTTTACAAGGCAGCTCCTGCCTGAGTCACAGTAAATTCTTGCATCTGCTTCTGAACTTTGTTTTAAAAGGTTAGCTGACTTTTAGCGGATAGCAACCATTGGGTAATACCGCAATGATGGAGTGCAGGGAATGGGTGACAAGGGGGAAAAAGGTCTCACGCCAAGCACCCAGCTTAAATATCCCCCTGCCACACATGGGCAGAACACAGGGGGTGAGAGGGGGCCAGGGAAGAGGTGCAAACTGTTACGGAAAGCATTTTATGCTATGAATCCTGGTATTTATTTGCTGGCTACCAGCGGGCTTCGTGTGTTTGCTTCTATAGCACAAGTGTGGCACAAGGCGGCTGCAGGCTGCTCCAGGGAAAGACTTTGGTAAGTCCTGCCAGAGGAGGTAATCTGTCTGAAAACACCCTCCTCCCTTGGATCTGCGTGGAAAGAAGCTCCAGCCCGCAGCTCAGCTGTGATTTATGAGGGACACATGATCTGGATTTGTGAGCTGGAATACACCCAGGTTCTCTGGTACCTCAGAACAAGCTAGGCTCCTCTCCTTCTCCAGGAAGGTCTGGAAATCTGCCATATGTACAAGATCATCAAATTGTGGGCATACAATTTGATGATATAGCTGAGGGAAGCCATGATGAGTTGCCTGTGGCTAACATCCTGATGGACTCCCCCAAAGCCACCTCCCACATGCACCTTCCTTGAGAGCATCTTAAGGCACTTCAAAGACAAATACCAAGGTTCCAGGGTCTCCCTTGCCCCAGCTGTCTGGACAGGAAGCTGTGCCTGATCCATGGTCTTGCTGCTGTCTCCAGGCTGCCTCTCATGACAGCTGCCAGTTCTGGACCTTATGCCAGCAATTAGTCATGTCTGTGTCACTGTTGAGTTCATTCCTACATCCCCTGCTAAAGCAATGCACTCTTGGTCCCTTTCCCAAACATGCTGTGACCATGTCATCCCCACCTCTACACCACCAGCATCTCCTGGGCCTCCTCGTGCCTTCTGATTAATGACCACAGAAACTTTAATGGGCTGTTGTCTCCTCCCTGACCAGTCATGGTCAGGGTGGCCTGGCAGGGAACAGCTGCCCTCTCTGTAAGGGCTGCCCATGCCATCTTCCCACCACCGGGGTGGTTTCTGCCACTTAGCTAATAACTTGCAGATGCAATCCAACTTGACGAACGCTCTTTACCCTTTGCTATGGAAGGAGAGTGACAGTCAACCATTAGGACACATGGCAGGAATTCATGGCATCTGGTCCAACGACAGACAGAGGTTTCACACCCTGACTACAGAGAAGGGAAACACCTTTCAGAGGAAGACTGAAGAATGTGTACATTTTGTCATGGAAGACTTCCGGGCCACCTGTGAAAGGCTGGGTTTCTAGATACTAATAGAGAATAGAATAGAGATTTTTTCCTCTCCTGATAGAGAAAACAATACACAGATTTATGGGATCATCTAGGATCCCCTCTTTAGTTAAATAAAAGTTTGGCATAACTTTTAAAGAAATTGCCAAAGGCAAAGACAGACTGTCTCTTAAATGTTTTACACCTGTCTATGTACATTCCTCATGATTTCAAAACCTCAATAAATAAATAAGAAAATACTCTCACCTAGTTTAATGGGTCTCACTTCTCACTGCTATCCTTGAAGCATCTTGGTTTCTCAGAACCTTTCTTAGATCCTGTTGCACATTTCAGCCTTTGTTTTAAAAACAAGGTTCTATTTCTCACAGTTACAGAGAAAAAGATTAAACTGTTAACCCTAAAGCCAAAATGCAGAAGTTAGATCTAACAACAGATCTAGCAGGTTTATCTTCACCTTAGAGCTCAGTATTTTTGAGCCTATCTTGAAATTTAGGGAGGTGATCCAGTATTCTAAACAGTGTGGCACATCAGGTGTGGCGTATGAAGTACACAAGGAAAGTAAGTCATAAGTTGTGCTTCTAATGCAACACGACTCTCTGCCATCAAGAGTACCAGCAGTGTTTTGGTAGAAAATCACAGCTCTGTATGGATAGAAATACGCTGTGTGACTGTTTTGCCTTGCCTCTGCCACTCACTTCATTAGGTAACCAACATAGCATCTCATGGATCTTCTTATCTTTTCTATTTCTATTTTCTTTTAGCTTTTCTTTTCCTTCAAGTTCAAGAAAATTCAAGTAATTGAGTGGAACTGCACAGTACAAGCAATTAATATACACTAATTCTGCCTTAATTCTTTCTTCCTCCACTAAGGTAATTCTATAAACAGAGTGATAAGCAACATGTGTTTAGTTTATCATCTATCTACACTCTTGATTTTATAATTTACATGCTCATTAATATGCCTATATATAAATTAGTTAGCAGGAATTACTAGGAATTAGAGCTATTATATAGCATATAAATCATTAATCTCCAATGAAAAAAGATTCCAAGCAGAACTTAACACGGACTTGAAAGCAGCAGTTCCTGGCTTGTGGCTGATGGACTCCCACCAGCCCCTGAAAGCCACTGCTGTCTCAGAGCCCCACTGAATGCCATCGTTTACTGCCTCGTGTGATAATGGTTTATACCAGCAGGCCCAAAACATTCATAAACTACTGCACTGCTCTTAATCCTCACAATTTCCTTTACTGTACTCTGGAACGACTACCAAATCCTCTAGTGAAAATAGCACCACTGAAAGCAAAAATTTGTCCATTCAGATGATACTCAGGGGTTTTATTAGAAGGAAAAATATTTTGGCTGGGATCTTGGAATCCTGAAAATCTTGGCAACCTGAAAAATTTTAACACCACAAACACACCCCAAGTGCATTTGTGGAGATCTATAACCTACTTGCAATGATGCCTTTTTGCAGTGGGCAACACCTATGAGAACATATTCGAAACAGAGGAGTGAGATGTTAATGCACTAAACTTTCACATTTCCTTTTATATTGGGGGTGGGGGTGCTTTTATATGTGTCTTCTCTCAATGGTCAATCATGTTCCTGCTGTCTAAATACAAGATATCACACTTAACACATTAGGAACCTAAGACCAGAACTTGTGCCATGCTGCACTACAGGCCTGGTGTAGATCCTGACTGTACTGAAAGCTGAGTTATCTGGGAATTAAAATCACTAAATAAAACAAAGGCAACATGTGTTACCATTATATTTTGTTAACATTAACTGAAAAAGTCGAGAGTTTTCTCTGAGGTCACTATGTAACTCTCCTACTAAGCTAGGGATGGAATGCTTAAAAAACAGCAAAAGAAAATGAAAACCTGAAGACTGTTCCCATTCTCCCTGTTCCAGACACCTGTCCCTGGTGGAAACAGGCACCATGGATGTCTCCAGGGGAGAGAAGCTCTGAACATTTCGAGTGCAGGTACCTAAAGCTTTGGTCCGGATGTTCATGTGATTAGCACCGTGCTCCTCCATAAGCACTTAGGCAATATTAGACATTTCCTTTCTGGCATGGATAACTGTAGAATTATCCTGTCATGAGCTCACTTGCATATTATTTTCTGCCACTTTGCCTATTACCAAAACAAAGACATTACATTTGTTTCAACTAAAACTCCTAAGCAAACTTACATCAAAGCTTCAAATCAGTTTCAGGGAATTAGAAGAATTAAGGGAAGGGATTACTTAATTTGTATTTTGAAAATGTTATCAATTTTAACATACTTGTCTATATAAACAGCAAATAGGCTTTTCATATAGTGTTTCTGAAAAAAGCTCCTTTTAGAATACTCCTTTCCTATATTCTGTAGTGCATAATAAATTATTTTAAACAATTTTGTGTAAATCAAAAAGCTGAGCTGAGTTTGAGTGAATGACATCATTATCTCACTTTGCAGTTAATTGCTGTAACAGCTGCAGCACTACTGTTGTCCACACTACTTTAGACTGAAGGAAGGTTATAATACAGTTCTAATAGCTTAAAACAGCTCTTTGCTATACCAAAAGCAGGGTGTGTGTCTTCATTTAGTATGGTATATTCTGGAATGCACAAATAATTTATTTAAATAAAGGTATATACAAATATGATGAAGGAAAATCTCTACAGAATTCCGTACAATGACTGCATGCACTGGGAACAATGCGCTCTGATTCGCCTTAGAGGAGTGGAGCATGAATTGAAGATTAGGAAAAGTTTGATGGCGTTCTGCAAATTCTGTCACCACATCGAGGGGTCTTCAAACCTGTAACATATTATGAATAAAACAAACATTAAATACATTTGAAAAGCCCCTTCTGAAAAATCCATAGCTAAAACTGCTTACAATTTTCATTGTAGTAATATCAGTAACACGGAATATGTAATCAAATTTGCAGTTGAAGACTCTATGTGCAATTCCCATTTAAACAAAGCTGGGTAGCTAAATCTCTGCATTGGCACTGGAACTAACCCCTCCAAGCTGCTGCCCTGACATGTCTTTATACCATTGAGACTTGAGGTGAGGCTGCTTTATGCTGACATGTGACATTTAATGAATTTCAGCTAGATAACTGTGACACATTGAAATACAAATATATTATTAAGAGCTAGTTTTCGCTCTTATTAAGGAGTAAACTGCTTCCAAAGAGAATTCACTACGCCAAACAAAACTGTAACTTGCTGTTAGGGCCTTCAAACAAAACTGAAGTCCCTGGCCACCTTCCTAGCATATCACAGTGATATTGGCCACCGCTCAATATTGTACACTTGAAATATCTGTTGAAGAGTGTTCCGAGGACAGAATTTGGTCTAAAGCCTGCCTTTATCAGCCTGTCTTTAATTCTTTTAGCTTGTTTCCTCCAGGATGAAGGTTTATGCAGCAATGTTGTACTGGGCAAATTCGGTGCTGGTTTCCATGCACCAGCCCCTCTGCGCCTCCCCCAACTTCCCTATGAGCTTTGGGACAATCTCAGCCAGGCCTGAGAGAGTTTTGTCACTCATACTAAGTTTGCAATGTACCATGTCACACAGGACTGTGCAGAAAGAAGATTTAATTATTTCTTCGCATGGAGGAAAAAGCTGAAGTCAGATTCAGAATCTGTGTGGGTTTTTATCCTAGAAAACACACCCATAGGAAACCAGGCATCAGTGCTCCCAGTACTCACATAATTGTCATCAACAAATGACAAACACCAGCATTTTTTTCTCAGTTTAAAGTGCTCTTACAGGGGGTATAAAATAAAAATCTGTTTCTCATTAATTCTGGATCTTAAATGCAGACTAGTTTGTTATGGGTTGCTCATGGGTTTTAACCTCCTGCTGTGTTATAAATAGCATTATTGAAACAATAATATCAACCATAAAGTTTTGTTGTGAAGGAGGGAAAATTAGACAGAGGATTAGACATTGCACTACCCTGTGTGTTGCCTCAAACTCATGGCAGCGGAAATTTCCCATTAAGTCAGGGTTCTGCCTTGTCATTACGAAACACAAAGTATTCTAATATATTTCACTGTGCTCTGTGCAATTTTATACATAAGCATCTGCAGAGAAAACTGTATCACACCAGCTGCAGTTAGTCATCAAGCCACAAGGCAATGTTCTTCCTTTTGTGCAAACCCGCCAGTCTCATGGATGACCCTCCTTGAGAGCAGTGGAAATTTCTGTCGCCTTTCCTTTACAAGATCATGCTCTAAATTCCATGCTGCAAACTCTTATACTTAACTGTGATCCTTTGTATAACTGAACAAAATGCACTGCACTTGTTCGTAGACTCCAGAGATGATCACAGCAGAAATAACTACGAAGATGTGCACTAAAGGCTTGAACCCCTTTGTGCCTTACTATGACTAAAATTAAAATTAGTATTTTCCTTCTCCAGCCAAAACAAACAGATTTTATATTTTCAACACAGGCAAAGGGAAGTTAATTTTTTAACAGCTGTAAAATCAGTCAGTACACTAGCACTCTATATATTGGCTGAAGTGTCTTTACCTGAATATATACTATGTACATTTGAAATCCCACTACTGCTTCAAGCATCACTTTTCTTTTAAACCAATTTTAAACAGAAATGTTAAAGTCTTTTTTACTTTGTAAAATATTAGGTTCAAAAGCTATGTAAAATACGGCATCTTAAAGAGAGTCATAGTGTTGCATCTGCACATATGTTAATTCATCTGCATATTTACCAACCACCCTTGTTTAGAGGAAGAATTTAAACCTAAGAAATTACTGAGTAGAAACAGGCCACTTTGGGGGTTCCAAGATGTTTGTGAATCATCATCTGATATCAGTGAGCAATTCTGCTTAATAAAGCCCAGTAAGTGGGAAGCATTTTGGAACTGCCTCCCTTCCAGCCAAACAGCAGGTTTTGCTCGCAAAATCAGGAACCACACAGGGTCTGGACTACATTTGAACTGGCAAAGCATTTCTTGTGTTCATAGCATTCTTCCAGTTTTTAACAACAGAGAAACTAAAACAGTTTTAAGGACATGTTCATCCAGCTATTATAGTGTAAGTTTTTCACCTGTGAATGCATTTATTGATAATAAATTAAACTGTAAAATCCAGGTGAGAAATCAGAGACGCTGCAAAATATCTTCATACATACCTAGATCTGGGAATATTTTCTGTGCTTTCTCTCAACAAGAGGTCTGAGATCAGTGTCTCTGGGCTTGATCTCTTTCCATATCTAAGGAATGGAAAAGAAAAAGTGTGTTTTTGCATATCTCAGTATTCAAAAATCAAGACTAATCATAGACCCAATGGGTAAATCTTTTCAGAAAAACTCAATAGAGCAGACATGAAGACTACTTCCCAACAAGTATTTTAACTTGATTTAGTAATGCGAGAACGTTTGTGCTTTCAGTATTTCGTTCATTATAAATATAGGTAGCATATTTGGGCTGTCCAACACACACTATGTTAGGGACTGAAAACTGAGCTTCCCCAAGCTATTAATCATTCCTGAACTACTTAGCTATGAGAGAGAGAATTTTCTGCATCAGATTTTTTTGTTGTTGTTGTTAAATGGGCTACCTTCCACCGGCTACCTCTGTCCTATAGTCACACAGTGGCTGTCTTTCAATTTGCATTTTTTAAAATCTTGATTATTTTGCTATACATTGCTCAATAGCTCAAAATACCACAATTCTTTCTTCTTGGGAAAGAATTTGCTCTCTTTTCCTCTGAAAAGAGAAGCCACAATGAGCACACAGCTTGACAGACACCTCTATATTCAATAGCTCAGCAGTGGTAATTATAAGCAAATGCTGTTGGAAAGAAATAACACATAACATCACGGTTTATAACTTGCATATATGTCTGGATCACAAACCACCTTAAGAGATAATCTCTTTCTGAATGCCATTTAAGTGAAATTCTTCATCCAGAGGAGTCACAGGTGTAACTAAGGACTTACATCTTATCCATTACTATCAAGACATTTTGTTGATTACTTTATCCAAGTCTTGGAAAATACCAACTATGTTTAAAAAGTTAACGGTTTTACCTGTCGATTCCATGCCCTCATGAAAAGTGGAAAGTGGATCGTTTTACTTAACTAATTGTACTTTTGCATTGCCTTATTCATTTTAATACATCAGAAAGTCGAAGCTTCAGAATTTTAAAGTAAATTTCTTAATTGAAAGTAAGTGGAAGTATCTAAAAACAACCGGCTGCTTATAGTAAAATGCTATTACAATAATGCAATCAGGCACGATGCTGAACTCAGCGTCTTTCACTCCACCACCGCAAAGGGACTTCTCTCTAGCTCCCTCCTCCACTTAATATGGGTGCGATTTGGGTATTAACTGAGGGTGAATCTATTTCACTTTTCTCTTAAAGAAATTGTTGTAACAACTCAACCACTTGCTCTGACAGCTGCACTTGGGCCAAACCTGCGCTCATTGCTGAGAAGGTCTTGCCTGCGCATTGAACGGGGAGCAGCCGCCGCAGTGCAGAGGCTCAGTCAGAGCAAGAGGACTCTGCTGGAAAGAGCCTTTTGCAGCCAGCTCCACCAGCTCTAGTGCTTGGCTAAACCTGTCTGCACAACTGGACTGACCTTGTCCTCATAGAGAGAGGTTCTGACGGTGGCGATTGCTGGCTGCGACCTACAGAGTGGCCAAAAGGTGCCCACTCTTCCCATGTGCCTGAGCCTCGAGCCTAACTCACGAATTTGTCACTTGCAGGACAAGCAGGCTACAATATTAATAAAAAGAGGACATAAACAGCCCTGAAAGTAACAGCTTAATGTAGAAGCTGCCTGCTGAAGCAAACACCTTGCAGGATGTTTGCTCCAGCTGCCTTGTGCTTTCTCCTCATCTGTCCCACACACCTCTGAGACACCATTGACACAGGAAGCCAGGCAGTAAGGATCTAGGAATAAACAGCACTTATTTTGATTAGGGCCATGGTATCTTAGATTTACAAGTCTCAAATTTTCTTAAAATTTCTTTTAAAAATTTCAGCATTGGGAGTCAAATCTTATCAATGTCCAAGGCTGGAAGCTGAGAGACTCAGAAGTATCTGGTGGACAGGTGCCAGGTGCCCAAAACACCCAAGCTCTCCATATCTGCTCCCTTCCACACTAACGGGTATTGAAATAAAGTCAGAGCATGAGTATTGCCTAAGTCAGACACACTTTCAGAACTGCTTTGCTGCAGCACAGAACAGACACGAATGTAAGAACAAGCTGATAGGGACATGAAAGAAAGTGGGTCTGACCAGCTGAGGAAGCAGGCTAGTACTAAGTAACAGGTCAGAACTGCTTAGGAGAAGAATGAGGGATCCACGGAGAGATTGGCCATGAAAAGACCCCCTGCAGTAGAGGTGTATGAGGCAAGGGCTGGACCACGGGACAATCTTGAAGACAGAGGTGAAATTAATCCAGACACACAGAAATCTACAGTATGGAAGCCTACATCTGTGCTGATCGCCCTTGGCTCTCTTCATTGCCAGTGAAGATCTGGCACCCGGGGAATAACTGATCTCACCTGAAACTGGACCTCTGAAAGGGGCCAAGTGGCTTGCACGCTACAAGTACCTATCACTCTCAGTTAACCTCAAAGGGCTACTGAGATGATTGGCACAGATGTCCAAAGCTAAGTGAGATGGAGCTCACGGAGATGGAGCTGAAAAGAGAGAGGGAAGGGGGAAAATCTGCTAGCTGAAATCTGGGAAACAAAAGTGAAATTCTGCCTTGCTTCACCCATCAGCAATAATAATTACTTTGGTTCACTTTTGAATCCTATGCACAGACAAGAATGAAAGTCTCAATCTCTGAGCTTGCACCCCAGAACTGAGAGAGAAAAGTTAGAAATTTGACATTAAAGTGAGCACATATGGCTGCATATAAGGAACATAAAGTATGCAAGAAGGGAAGGTTGAATAAGGAAGTTATTTTTTCCTATAACCTGTTTTTGGATAGGGACTACCCAACAGGCACAAAAGAAGAGATGAGAAACCAGCACTGAAGTTCCACTGTAATGAAGAGAAAAGGATTGGAGGGGCAAAATGTGAAGAACAAATCATTTTAGCAGTACTTTATAAAAGAAGAAAGTTATTAGAGCACTGACTAATACATAGAAGCATGCCATACACATGAACATGTTGCAAATATTTCTATAAAAGTCCAGGACTGAAGAACTGTAGTTACATCAGCTATATCAGCTTCTTCATCTGTTTTATGATATCAGTGCCCTGACAGACAACATTATGGGTTTGGTGGATGATAGCCTCCCTTCTAACTTAATTATTCCAACTTTTACAGGGACAAATGAAAGGCTAATTATAGACCTCTCATATGTTTTTGATATTGAACAAATAAGGAAATATTCCAAAGCTTTTCTGGATCACACAGTATGCAAGGGACCTCAGAGGAAACTTCTATTAATCATATAGCCTCTTACTGAACGGATGTTCCTAAACAAAAGAATTTTATATTAGAATTTTTCCTTTTTTTTTCAGACCGAGCTTTTAGTACTACTCTAACAATAATGTGCATTCCTAGAAACCCAGTTTGGAGCAAGGTAGGTTTAGCTTGTGCATCTTCTTTTGGTTTCTGCTTGGTTTATTTGTGGGCTGGAGAAAGTTTTTTGTTTGGACTAGCAAGTTTTCTGGCCCATAACTGCTGTATTAAGTAGCTAACAAAACACAAAGTTTCGGAACTACTACAGTAACTCCTCGGCAAGGACGGAGAAGCGCTTTCTCTGAGTGAACCACTCAAGAGACCCGGGTGTTGAAGAAAGTGTGAAACTATGGAACAGCTCCCGCTGCCCTGTCTTGCCTGTTCCTGCTCCCAGGGCTGTCAGTGTTCCCCTCTCTTTTGGGGAACACCCCACACGCTGTGTTGTTTGGTGGCTCACACGCCAAGCCTGTCGCACAAGAGCTGCACAGGGCTGAGAGCACTGGGACGGCGCAGATACCGCTCCACCAGGTCCTTTTGCCAACTCAGCTGCCTGAAATTCACCTCCAGCATCTGCTCAGGGGTGCACGGCTGCAACTCTGCGCTATAGGGAGACGCTCTCTCAGGCCAGTTCTTTCCCCAGGGGTGATTTTCCTGCATGCTGGATGAGCCAGCTGTGTGTCCGCAGCCAGGGCCACCTGCTCTTGCCCCGCGGGGCTCACCCTTCCTACCTCTGCCTCGTGATGAGGTTGATGTAGTGCCTCAGCGCCGAGTAGTATCTGGCCATGTCCTCTGCGGGCGCGTCCTCGCCGGGGCTGTCCGGTTTGGAGGGGTACGCCTCGGCCAGCGTGCCCAGGCACACGAGCAGCGACAGCGCCAAGGTCAGCACCGAGAGCCACAACCTCCTGGTGCGCTGCATCTGCGCGGCCAAGGGCGAGAGGCGCCGTCAGAGCCCGCGCGGGCAGCGCCCCGCGCTCCCCGCCCGCCCCCTCGGGCCTCGACGGCCCCGGTTCGGCCCGGTTCGGCCCGACGGGGCAGGCGGCGGTACTCA